TATTACCTTTTACATCATGGCCCATAGAGAGTTTAATGCTACTAACCTAATCTTTTAATACATTGATCATTTGATAACAATTCGCGATCCAAGTCATAAGAGGAAACCTAACCTTGCTTTAGGACACATCATTTCATATGTTTTTAAAACCAAATACAATATTCAATATCCTGCTCCACCCAACCATCTGCCTCCCTGCTACTCAAATAGTTCCTTCAATGTCTTTCACAGTACTCATCTCCACCCAGGAGATGGGGAAGCTTAGGGGGCCGAGGAGGAGGAGGCTCTTGCCCCCATTCCTAAACTTGTTCCTCTCTGTCAGCACTCACAACTGGATTAGTTGGTGGAGAGATTTGATTAGTTGGAGGCCCGGTTCAACACCTTCGTAGCTCACTAGCAGCACCAGCACGATGTGGATGTAGCCCGCTAGTAGAAGCAGCACGCCTAGGATATGGCCTGGTTTGGGGCACAGTTTGCTTCACTCTCTTGTTACTTTCAGCAGCCACCACCACCACCTCCGTCTGATGATCAGGGTCCCTCATTATTCTAGTTTTAGCATCAATTTTCTGTAGTTTATTTTTTCTGTATTGTGTTTTTCTTTTAGTTCTAGTTGCTTTAGTTCGTTTTAATTTCTTCCTCCTTTTTGAGATGTCAAAAGGGGGAGTAGTATGGTTGTACTTTTCTAAAATTTGAAAGCTTTCCATGTTCTAGTATTGATCATCGAAGTGTTTGCCATCATTAAAAAGTGGGAGATTGTTACAAATTTATTTTCATGAATTATGATTTTGATGTTAGCAAACACTATTGTTTCTCTACGACTGCATTGGCTACTAACATTTTAGGACCACAAGATCAGACGAAAATCGAAACTAGCTCAAGATTAGGTAGACTAGGCTTGAGTCAGTCTGTAATTTTCTTTTTCCCTTTCTTGAGTCAATTGTAACTATTGAAGTATTCTGATGCTAAGTAAACCTACACATACACACATGAGTGATTTTTTCTTTCTGACTTAGAATTTTTGTTTTTTACTCACATCTTGTCGGACGATATTATTATTGTCCTGGACGATAGGGTTCAAAACAAAAACCATAATCAGTCAACTTAGTTAAGGTAGCCTTCATTAGTCGATCGGCCTGTATGATATATGTATCAGCTAGGACGATAGGCTTAAAACAGAAAGAATCAGCTCCCATGAACTATTTAGGCATTCTTTATTTTTGGCAATCGGTCAGGATGATCTTGTATCGTCCTGGACGATTTGATACAATTATGCCTAAATTAATCTGGTAATTAAGGAAAGTAATTAAAATGATTGATACGATCACATCATCCTGGATGATCTCAAGATTGGCCGGGATAACCATTCAAAAACCTTATTTGCTCTTAGACGATAAATATCAGACAACTCAAATTTCGGGCGATGGTCTGGCCGATCAGGATCGGCCAGCTCAAATTCCGATGCTCTAGACGATTTTCCTCTAATTTGAACTAATCCTCTAGGACGATCGTGAGATTGGCCCGGACGATCAAGCTATTTTTGAATCGTCTAGAACTCTTTTTAGAGCGATTGTCTGGCCGATGATCTATGATTTAAATTAATCATACAAGATGATTTATTATCGTCCTGGACGATAGAAACACCTTTCTTCTATTCATCCCAAATCATCCCGGCTGATTATGCTTAAATTATACTGATCATACAGGACGATATTAATATCATCCTAGACGATAATGTCGACAACTTGCAATTAATGATCTATTTTGAAGCTCTTATATTTAAGAGTATTGTTCAACATTTTGAATAATCTTTTGCTGCTGTCTTAACCTGAGAATGCCTAGAGGAGAGAGAGAGAGAGAGAGAGAGAGAGAGAGAGAGAGAGGATCTTGTGAGGGAGATTCACAAGGGTTGCTCCAAGCATTGTTCCACTTCTTCTTCCACTAGAGTCTCTTATCCTTGGTAGGGTTGGGAGAGGTAAGCTTCAGTGATCGATCAAGGTTTTCTGCCTGCTTCAGGAGGAAGCAAAAGAAGTTGGGTTCTCTGCTTTGCCGGGGGTGGCAAAAAGGAGGTTTTTGTAAGGACTTCTCTTCCTTGTTGTTCGAGCAAAAGGAGAGTCACTTTGGTAGTGTAATACTCGGAGGGTGCCTCAGGGGAGTGGACGTAGGTCGAGTTGATCGAACCACTATAAACCCTTGTGTTCTTTTTTATCCTTTCGCATTTAATTTTTCCGCACTTATTTTCCGTGTTGATTTTGGTTTGAGCTTTGTTGTGTTTTGATTTAAAAGATTTTTTTAAAAAATACCAATTCACCCCTCCCCCCTCTTGATTAGCCTTAGGCTAGTTCATAAGGGCCTAACATCCCTAACGAACTTTCAAGGCTTGCGGCTCTTAATTGCATAAATTTGCTGCTTAATAAAGTCTGATTTGTATGTTTACTACTCTGTTGATTATTATTATTTTCTATTCTTTCTATTCTAATTTTGAGTTAGTTTTTTATTTCTATTGTTATTTTGCAGTTATTTCATCTCAAATTTTTTTTCTTTTATTTATTAGTTTTTCTTATTTTTGGTCATAGTTGAAATGATATTTTACGCCTTACTTTTGTTTTTGATAATTTGTAGTCAATATTTTGACATATATAAATCAATTAAAGGGAGAAACACCGTTGATTATTTTCCTCCCTCTAACCTCTTTTAGCAATGTAATTTTCTTTTCTACACAAAAGTCTATCTCAAATTAAAAATTAGATTTTGTAATTAAAATCTTTTCTATCTTGCTACAGTAATCTATCTTATATATATAATGTTCAAAGTCTTTATATTACTTTCAAATTCTTTGAAATCTTATTATTGTATTTATCATATGAAGTTGATTCTATTTTGTGGTTTATTCTCAAACAACTAGGAAGGGTGTTCAAATAATTTTGGTTAAATTCAAGGTTGATTTGAAGGTTGATTGGATGTGAATATGGGTTAATGGTTGATCTGGTAAACCAAGGTAGATTTGATCAATCTAGTCAAACCAAGATCTTGGTTTGATCCAATGCATTCCTAATGATGTTTAGGATGTATTAGAAGATGTTTTAAGGTTTGATGTGGTTGAGCCAAGTTGAGTTTTGGGGAAAGTCTAAAAATTTCCTTAAAGACCATTTTTGTAATTTTGACGCCTGGTCAACTCTGGGTCAAACAATGTCCATTAAAATGAAATTTATTGGTTAACATGTCATAACAAAGGCTATGGACACATTCAAAGTACTTGGGGAGGGTTCCAAGGTCAAGTTCCGCAAAGTGGCAAGCCCAATGACATAGACAAAATATTTAAAGGTTTTACAGCCTTTGAAAATCAATTGAGTTTTTGGGGCTAGGAGTGTTATATTAAGCTCAAATTTGGAGGGTTGACCCTAAAGACATGCCTAATAGATATGCAATTGATATATCATGAATCAGAGGCCATTTGACTGGATTCCAAGGTGACTGAAAAATCACCCATAAAGGGTTTTAAGACCTGGATCCTTAACCCTCAAATTAGTTTGGAATTCAGGGTTTAGACTGGATTTGGAGTTTTATTGGAAGTAGGATGAGCCCTGGTAACCTTATACAAAGGTGAGGTCAACATTATAATTCAACTTCACCATTTTTAGAGCATATATCAAAATTAATCAAATCATGTTTGAACAAGTTTGAACAAAATTTTGATGTAAATATGACTACAATAAATGAAGAAAGCTTATGCAAATAGGGCAATATGTTTTCCCTTATTTATAACAGAATATGAATATAGTAAAAATATTTAAATGTTTAGATAATTTTAAATATATTAAAAAATAAAAATAAAGGATATATCTATCTTATTTTAAATATTATGGAGCACGTAAATCCTAAATTCCTAATTAGTGCACCATGACTAGTTTATTATGATGGTAAAAAATTAGAATTTAGGGGCTATTTGGTATCATATTTACTCTCATATTTACAATAAATCCTACCAGACAGTTTTTGACCGTTCTGTAAATCCCGATCCTCAGTATATCCGCATTTACATCTTAAATTCAGGATTTAGTAAATCCCTCAGTTCGACATATTTAATGGGATTGATGCTCGCAAGAACTCTCTCCCATGGCGCCTACTGTTAATGCTGTTATTTGCCACAATAACGAGTAAGCATTGCTCTCGTCCACCTCCTCAGCCTCTCTGATTTGTCTTCCTCTGTGATTACTAGGCTCCTTCCTCTGGTAGGCATCTTCCTTAGCAATTCATCTTCATCCATGGATATGATCTAATAACAAAAGAAACTGAAAACACTTGAAAGGATACATGACAAGCTGTTGCTATCTCTAGTGATTGTCAATATATTTTGAAAAATATGGTCATATTTTGATTAGAGTATAGCAATAACATTTATTAACCAAGAAAGAAAAAAATTGGGCTAACTATCTTATTGATGTAATTCAACACTGTTTATTCATATTTAAATCCTTATCTGTCATAAATTTTAAAATATGTTACTAAACAAATTTTCAAGATTTAATAGGATTTAATATTTACCATACATAATAGTTTTCAAAATTTAACACCCTCACGATTTACTAAACCCGAGTGAGGATTTACTAAATCCAAATTTATAGGATTTACTAAATCCCACTAAAATTAAATCCTACTTTGCCAAATGATGGATAATTTATATAGAACTGGCTTCCCCATGGGTGATGCCTATTGAATTTACATTCATACAATTTTATTTTATGCTATTTACATATATAACATCAAAAACATTAATATTATATCACTATCACCAATATACAACTTTTATATTAAATATATAACTCATATAATTCATTTATATCATTCATTATCATATTATAAACTTTAATATTTAATTCAATGCACTCAAATTTATTTAATGAGTGATAGATATATAATATTAATATTTTAAATGCTAAGTATGTAAATAACATGAATAAAATGATATAAATGTAAATACCTTAATTTAATTCTGTTCTTGTTCGAGCTTTTCGTCCATGGACGCGCGGGCGTATCTGGGGTTTCTTCTATACAGTGCTCGGTGTTGTCTGCAAATAATCAAGACCATCCTCTCTCCTTCCCTTCCCTGCTTCCCATCCCTCTCACCAACAAATGGAAGCCCTATCCATAGCCCTTTCTCTAAAATATTGCCCTAATTGCCGGTACCACATTTATTCCTTTCTTTACCGCTTCCCTTAGTGTCTAGGTTCCGCCGCTCCGAACCCAGGGAACCTATCTTAAGCACTGCTGGGTTCCTGATGCTCGCCCTTCCGTTTGATTTCGCTGTTTGGATTGAAGATGGCGCTTGTTCCGGTGAGGACGGAAAGTTCCTTTCTGGAATCGGAGATGGATGGCTCCGTCGAGTCGCTAGGCCGTCTTCTCGATGCGCAGAAGAAGATATTCCACAGCCAGATAGACCAGCTGAAGAGGCTGGTTGTCAACCAGTGCAAGCTCACGGGGGTCAATCCCCTCTCACAAGAGATGGTACGCCATGCCTGGATTCTATATTTAACAGATTGTATAAATGGATTTCGTTTATGGTAGATGCCTTTTTAATAATGCGGATTAGAAATGAGCATGTGTGCTCTTTATGATCAATGATTTAGTTTTTCTTGAGTACTTATAGACTTAGAAAATAAGTCTGCTTCACAATATGCAGTATTCAATTTGAAATTTGCCGTCAAAGAGCTGCAGAAACATGTTATAGTGTTATGCTGTCGATTTGCTGTTGTGTAAATGTCTAATTAGCCCTGTCCCTAAATTTTTTTTTTTAATTCAATGATGGGATGCCAGAACTTAATGTTGGTCAATGTTTTAAAAATTTGGGTAGGAGTGGGATGCTAATGATCTCTTTTTCAAGGGAATGCAAGCTGATACATAAGTTTCTCTCATAAATATGCTTTTACACATAGCAGTCAACAGATTAAAGGGAGTTTCACATAAATTTTTTTGCTCCTTTATCATTCTTGTGTATGTAAACAGTTTGTTCGTCATAGAATTAGGTTGAGAAATCACGGTGTAAAGTTTTTGCTCATCATGGAGAAATAATTATCAACTCCACTTGTGATCTAACTTTATGAGAAAAGCGTGATCATACTAATTTTTATTAGTGCGGTATATGATCTAGCTGTATTCTTTCACTTGTTTGAAGTGGCAGATGCAAACTAAGATGCATTTTGCTTTTTTTTTTTTTTTGTAAATGATAGTAACTGACTTTATAGTGTTTAACTTCTGAATAGCATTTTGAGTAGTAGATGCTTGCTTGGTATTTCATTTTCAAATAAGATATTTCATGTGAGTCATTTCAAAAATGCTTGGGTAGCCATGTTAATTCTTCCCTCCAGCGTATCCGGTGAATATTTATTTATTTCAAAAACTGTTTTGTATTTGATGGTTCTAAGTTACTTTTTTTGGGTTTTATCTCCATTTAGGAGTTTATTGTTCATTGCTGGTATTCTAGTTCCATATTATCATGGTGGTCTTTAATTTTACAGTTCTAATTATTCCATCCTTTTTTTTCAGGCTGCTGGTGCACTATCAATAAAAATTGGTGAGTTTAGGTCTTAACACAGATAATGCACTTGCATGGAATTATTCTTGGAAGTTCATAACCATCCACTTCAATTTACCTTGAGACTTTCTTGGTTTTATTTCTCATTTTTTTGGCCCTAAATAATTGAAGAGTAGGCTCTTCCATATACTGAAATAGATGAATCTAAATTGGAATACTTGACTACTTGCATTTTTCTCCACCTGCTCACCTGAACTGCTATTTTGTCTGTTTCTTTTCCTGAACAATAATATTGAAGAAACTATTAACCATTCTGTTTTATGTGACATTTCTTGAGTTTCATTTAGTAAGTTTTTAATAGGTATTCTCTTTCCCTGCTTTTATCACAATGTGCCAATTGCATGCTTGCGTTCTTCCTCAGCTTTTTAATTATTTTCATGGAAGATCATGGCTTTTATTAGTGTTGACCTTTTTTGCTTATGGCATTTCTTAATGATTATTTCTTTTAACTTTTTTGAGGTGTAGATAAATGGGGGCTTTTAGACCATGTTTGAGACAACTACTTTTGTTTGAAAAGTCTGTTTAAAAGCTGTGGCTAGAAAAACTATGGTGCAATGCTGCTACTAAAAAGTTATTGCTTGTTGATTTATATGTTTGGAAGGCTTGCAGTTGAGCTGCTGTTTATAGTCCAAAATCTATTTTTACTTGTTTGATTATAATATTTTATATTTTCTGCACAGAAAAAAAGATTGAAGTACCTACAAAATGAAAAACTCATAAAATTTATGCATTGGGTTAATGGTGCATTTAAGATGGTTGTAGTTGTCTATAAAATTAGTTATGACAAAAATAAAATTTATGAAAGCTGTTGTGGGTATTATAGATTTTTTTTGCTAGAAAAAACTTGATGACTTTTTTACAAGAAGCATAGTTTAACATATTTGGTTGTGAAATATCACTTAAATTTGTGAAAGAAGAAAGTTATAGACAAATAAGAATGTGGCAATGGTCTATAAAGTAAAGCTGTGAATATCCCAAATGCACCTTAAGACCCTCAAATCTATTATTTAGCTGAAAAAACAAACATAAATTATATGTTTCATCAAGCTAATCATTATAAAATATATGAATTAAGAGGTGCAATTCATTATGGTGCGCTTGTATGGATTTCGAGAATCCATTGTGTCAGACAGAGATAAGGTGTTCCTTAGTCACTTCTGAATGGAGTTGTTTCGTCTATAGGGGACTGTCCTGAAGAGAAGTACCGCCTATCATCCCCAAATAGATGGCCATACAGAATTGGTCAAAATAAGTGTAGAAACCTAATTAAGATGTTTTGTATCAGGCATGCCGAAGAGTTGGGCTAGGTGGATTGCTTGGGCCAAATATTAGTAAAACACCTCATATCATTCAGTCGCACGACTTCCCCCTTCAGGATTCTCTATGGGAGAGACCCACCATATTTGATTCATTACGGACATAACACTACACCAGTGTCCAGGATAGAACAATACTTAGAGGAGAAGGGGCAGTGTATTTTGAGCTCAAGGGACATTTGTTGAGAGCCCTGCAGATCATGAAAATGAAAGTTGCAATAGAGAAGTAAAATTCAAGCCAAGAGACATGATTTATTTAAAATTGAGGCCCTACAGACAAAAGACACTAAACAGGAGGAATGAGAAATTGTTCTCACGATACTTTGGGGCTTATGAGATTTTGGAGCGCATTAGAGCATTGGTATATCGATTGAGGCTACCACCTTCATCATCCTTGCACCTAGTCTTTCTTGTCTCATAACTGAGGAAGGTGATAGGAGAGTACACACCACGACTTTGATGGAGGACATGGAGGTCATTTTGAAACTCCTAGAAGTAGCACTGCGCGTGGAGGAGAGACAAGGGCATAAGAGGTGCTAATCAAGTGGAATGATCTGCTAAAGTGCGATGCCACATGGGAGTCATACGAGAGGATCAGTAGACAGTTCCAACCTTCCACCTTGAGGACATGGTGACTTTTGGGGGGAGTATTGTTACACGTGGTAAGCATGGAGATGAGAGTCACTCGCCCAGCTCAGAAGAACCAGACCCAGCCAAAGGTTGGGCTGGAGCCAGCAGAGCAAGAGGGGGTTCAGCCCCCATTGTGCGGCCCAAGAGGGATGTAATTCAATATGTAAGAAAGAGAAATAGAGGGAGAGAGATTTATGAAGGTTTTAAATATGGGAGAATTGGTTTAGGAAAAAGATCCAAATCAATTCAAATTGGGAAGGAAATCAATTAAGGAAAGGGGCTGGTTTCGTAGGGAATTAGAGAAGCCCTATGATGCACCGACACGGACACGGCGACACGGATACGACACGACACGGACACGGGACACGGCAATTTTTAAAAATATAGGACACGGGTGCGGCGTGGACACGGCATAATAATTTTTTAATATAATATATAAAAATTAAGGTGACATTATAGTAAAAATGTCAAGCAATAATAAATCAATTCATGATAACTTGTTTAGCTTATAACATAAAGATGTTTAGTACAAAATGTCTAGTACAAAGTACAAACACAAAAATATAAGCAAAAAATCATTTAATACAACATGAAGGTCTAACTACTCAATAGAGGGAATGATAAAATTAGATTCAGATGTTGGTCTTTGGCCTTCAATATCATCATCATTGAATATAATTGCTTCCAACTCTGGTTCATCTAGAGAAAGATTTGCAACCTTCAATAATCCCATATCATCAAGGAACTCGAACCCATCTCCAGCAACATCCCACATCTTGTTATCACCTGTCATATAAAGTGGGGTTTTTCTTGATAGAAGACGAAGATTTGTATGTACATAAACTAAATCTTCAGCACGTTGTGGAGTTATTTTATTCCTCTTCATTGATTGGATAAATGAGTATGTGCTCCAATTTCTCTCACAACAGGAAGAGGATGATACTTGACCAAGAAGTTTTATTGCTATTGTTTGAAGAAGCGGTGCTGAAGCTCCATGAATCAACCACCACATTTTTGGATCCATCCTCCATCTATCAACCAAAGATTCTTGATCACCAAAATCCTCTAAATATCCAAAGAACTTTGCAAGTTCTATTTGCAAGGTTGAAAGGAAGTCCCGCTGAAAAAAAACCATCCTTGCTATTTCACCATCCAATTCCTCTTTGGCTGCTGCAAATTAAAAGCCTTCTCTAGAGGACTACTAGACTACTCCTTTTCTTTTCTTGTTTCATATCACTTCACTTTAAATGATAAGGCTTGATCAACTCTCCAGATGAGGAAGAGTCTGTTGAATGAGCCATGAGTAGATGGCGAAGTACCTCTTTAGGGAGTGTCCTTTGCATTCCTAAATTCAGCTTCATCAAACTTGTTTTCCTGGTCATTCAATCAAACTGGTGACGTAAGTAATCTTTAGGACACATTTTATTCCATGGCCGAATTTTAAGTAGATGAGTGCCTTCACCCTATAATAAAGATCCTTTGTAGTGCCAACCAAC